ATTGTGCAATATATATATAAGTAGGTTAGAAATAAGATACAGGAGGAAATCAACACTGCTATTCATTTATCTCTGACTAGTGATGGCTCGACTGCTAGTTTTGCAAATTAATCCTTTTTAAGTGTAACATCACTGCAAATATTGAACAAAAAAAATCTACAGTTCTAAGAATTACTCCATTAAAAGTAACACACACTGCAATAAATATAAATATAAGTGAATGTATCACAGAGACAGTAAAGCAATTTATTATTTCTCATAGTAAAATTCATGTTTTCAAAAGAGATAATGTGGCTAATATGACAGCACCAGCTGTACAAGCCCAATACATGTCATTACCTTGTTTTCTACACACCTTGCAGTTGACTATTAATATGCTTTCTATTTGTAAACAAATAGTTGGACAATTTAATCAGTCACCTGTAGCTTTTGCAAAATACCAGAAAAATAATTTAATTTACCAGATCATAAATTTATTCAGGATGTCCAAACAAGATGGAACAGTCAGTATTATATGATGTCCAGAATATTTGAATAAAAAAAAAAAAAAATATGGTCTTATCTCATATTGCAGTTATCATGCAAGATCACATTATTTAGAATACACCCAATGGAATATTTTAGAGAAATGACTGAAAATGCTTAAACAATTCATTGATTATACAAATTTATTAAGTAATAGAGAAGCAACTGCCGCTTATATTACACCACACATTAAAGTCATTTATCACATTTTTAAAAGGAGAAAAGAAAAGGGTCTATTTGATGGGTTAGGTTAGTTACCTCCACGAGATCGCTAAAAAAAGAGCATAGCATGATGAAAAAGACGCCAAACTTGATGAAAACAAAATTTTATCGTCTAAATGTTTGTTATTATTAAGAGGAAAGGTCAAAAGAATTTTGGGGTATTTTTTCCATTTTTTAATCGTTCTAGCACGTCCGAAATTTTCGTTAAAAATCTAGTTTTTTTGAGTCAGCAAAATTGACCATTTTTTTCCATTAAAAAAAAAACTGGAAATCTGACTTTGAAATTTTTTAAATATCAATTATCATTTTTTCAAAACTTATTTTAAGAAAATCAGAAATTATAATGTTTATTTAAAATATTTTGAACCAAACTTAACTTAGCTTTTGTGCCAAAAAGATGTAATTTGAAAATATAACAAAGCAGGTCATAAACTTTCACGTCTCTTGACATGTGATGAATGATATATTTACGAATTCCATGAGGCTAATTTGTTCTACGGAAGGAGAAAAGTGAAATAATTTACATTTACGTGAACAAATTATTTACCCCGTTATTTTTAACGAAAACTTTCAGTGGTCTAATTTTTTTTTTTTTTTTTTGTACTTAGCTTTCACCTTTACATTTATGATGCTTTATGGGAAATATATTGCAAAAGAAATTAAAATAAAACTGTTAAGAGTGACATTAAATTTCATATTTCTTAAGAAAGGTATCTAATTAATTTATGGGTACCTTTCTTATGAAATTTTATCAGAATTATACATAAAATACTATAATTTTATGTACATTTATTACATTCTACTGTTATTTGTATTTGCATTCATTTTATTATTAATTTTGATATTTCATTTATGGAAAAAATGTCGTAACTGAGATTAATATAAAAATAAGATCATATAAATTTCATAAGATGATACTGATACTTGTAGGTACCCTTCTCAGTTGAAATTGAAAAATCAAATTAACTTCTCCACACGTGTTTACATAAAAGTAAAGGCCTTAACAGCGGAGAAGAATGCTTAACTCAAATAACAGCTTAATTATATTCTGGTTGGTCTTCCGTATTTTATAATTACAGCTCGATTATAAGCACAAAATTACATTTCTTAATTACTGGGTATCTTCTGATTAGTCAAAATGATACAATTTACAACGCTAAAAAAAGATCTATCTCATAAGGACACTTATGAAAGCCGATCTTGACTTTTAACTAATTTTATAATATTTTAACAACTTAAATGTAAAATCTATTATAATTAATGAAATAACAAATAATTGTATTAAAAATCATTTTTCATCGAAAAAATTTTTTGCTTTCAGAAAATATTGTCCATATTCATAAAAACAACTAAAAGCAAATAAAAGCATTTGAAATTAAATAATATCTTTGTTTTATTGAGTTTTGTATGTTACAATTCAGAGCTGATTTTCAGGTACTGCGTATCAAAAAAAAAAAAAAAAAAAACATGATTTGCATTCCTCAAAGCCCTGTGCTTTTAATTATTGTAATCACTAAAACCGATCGATGAATTTCTAGCGTTTTCATAAAATTAGTTATGGGGGGTAATAAATATTTTAAAAAATATTTCTACCGTGACTTTCATAAAAAAACATATTTATAATAATTTCGATCATCTGTGAATAGTTCTGAAAGTTTCATTAACATCCGATAATTATTTCTATTTTTGCACAATTTTTCAAATTAATGTGTGTCATACAAAAAAACGTGCTAAAAATTGTCTATGTTATTTACTAGTTCTGCTGATACAAATAGAAAAAAGGTTTTTTTAATCAAAATTTAGAATGTTCTAAAAGAAGGAAAATTTTTAAAAATAATTAAAAAAACTTTGGTCTTTCCACTTAATAATAACATAAGCATTTAGACAATAAAATTTAGTTTTTCGGCAAGGTTGGCGTCTTTTTCATCAAGCTATGCTCTTTTTTTAGCGATTTCGTGGAGGTACCTAGGTTAGGTTTAACTCTTTCAACATGGAAAGGGTTCTTTTAATGCTAGATTTAGCAGCTACTTGGAAGACAAAAACCTTATTCTAGCAACATATCTTGATCTCAGGTTCAAGAATGGTTTTCTTGAAAATAACTACAGTGGCCTGCCTAATGACAAGGTCATTGCAGAATGGTTCACTCAAGATCTCTATTCTATAACTGAAGAAAAAACAAACACATCACCCAAATTATCACGAAGCATGGAGAATGACTTATTTGACATGTCTGAAGATAATAGTGATAATAATAGTGACTTTAATTTCATTTTTATAAAGTGCCTCACCAAATAAAATAAAAAAAATGTAATGAAGGAGAAGGGGAGACAATATGTACGAGAATAGAGGATAAAAGCAGTCAGTGAAACAAGCAAAGAAATCTATTTATTAAAATTTGAAATGGCAAAATATATTGCATTAAAAAATGTAAAAAGTGATGATTATGTTTTCCAGTGGTGGAAATCAAATAAGAATGAATTTCCCATCATGGCGCTTTCAGCCAGGAAATATCTATTAGCACCTCCTTCTTCTGTTGAAAGTGAATGGTTATTTAGTATTGGAAGTAGCATTTACTTACCAAAAAAAATTAGCTGAAAGGTGAAACAAGAAAGATAATGTTCTTACATTATAATTTAGGAATTTTAAGGCTTAAATATGAGTAGCTTGATACTTAAGTGATTTATAGAAAGAAATTGCTTTCTTTATTGTTTAAACTCTTACATATTTTTTTAAAATAAAAAGGACATTTAACTTTATTTCATAAGCTTTTGTATTCATTTTTCTACTAAATGTTTTATTAATAAATGTACTTTGTTCATGAAGTTTCCCAAATCAACTGTAGAGCCTGAAAATGATGAATTTTAATCATTGTAGGTATTAGAATTGGGAATTGTATTAGAATCAGTAAAAATAATGGTATTGTCCTTCACAAATTATATATATATATATATATATATATATATATATATATATATATATATATATAGAGAGAGAGATAGAAATGAAATATTTTAATAAAGTAGTTTATAAGTTAATACTTTCTATAAATTAAGAAACATTTTATTCATTAAAATATTTCATTACCATAAATTACTTATCAACACAAATGAATTAAAATATTATTTACTTTATGAAAAATAATTTCCAACTTTTTCCTATCAAAAGGCAAAATTTTGATTTTAATTCCTACTACTTTTTCTTTCCTTGAAATCTAACCCGCGACTTTCTCTTTCCTTGAAATCTAACCCGCGACTTTCTCTTTCCTTGAAATCTAACCCGCGACTTTCTCTTTCCTTGAAATCTAACCCGCGACTTTCTCTTTCCTTGAAATTAACCCTGACTTTTTCTTTCCTTGAAATCTAACCCATGACTTTCTCTTTCCTTGAAATCTAACATGACTTTCTCTTTCCTTGAAATCTAACCCGCGACTTTCTCTTTCCTTGAAATCTAACCCGCGACTTTCTCTTTCCTTGAAATCTAACCTGCAATTTTTCAGGTAATAATGTATTCAAAATCACATAAACTGACAGTAACTTTACCACATGAAAAAACAAAAAAAGAGAAAGATGTTAGCACAAAGAAATTAAAATGACAGACACTTAACAATTGTACAAGAATTACATCTACAAATGAAACATGCATAGTGCATACAGACAAGCTTCATTTTTGTTTAATGCTTCTGCCTTTTTTTTATCATTTCACCCCAAGCAAGGCAACAAAGCCACTAAGACTAACAGGTTACTGAGTGTGAGAATATTGGGAAAAAAAAACATTATTAATGATAGAGAACAATAAAAGAACAAGAATTAAAACAAAAGATAAGGATTGATTTTGCATTTAAATTTTTGAAGATCAAAGTTGATTGGAATGCAAGAAGCTAGAAGAGAGCTCCCCAAAATGAAAACTGTAAGAGAAGAGACTGTTAGCATAGAAATAGACATTACAACTGTAAAATATCTCTAGCCACTGCAACTGAAAAATGATGAGACTTTGATTCCAATCTAGTACTGTGCTTAAATTCTAGGAACCATAGAGGAAAGTTCATCAAAAGAATTACCATGAAAATATTTATAGAATAGGCACAGGAAAGCTATGTTACATTAATATTTAAAGATGCAGAAATTTTGCTTAAAGGAATTATTGACAGAAGAAATTAGAAAAGGCAATTTCTGGATAGATTAATTGTTTTTATGATTTATCAACACTTTGTAGGTTATTTAAAGCTAAAACCTATTTTGGATTATAGGAGGTTGCAGTCTCCCTTCTGAGTACTGATCAGGCTCAACACTGCTTAACTTTGGTGATCAAATGAGAACCAGTGTTTTCAGTGTGATTTGAACATCATGGATAGTTTTACTATAATTCTAACTTGTGTGTGTGTGTGTGTGTGGATATATATATATATATATATATATATATAAGTGTGTGCGTATGTATAAAAATTGGGATCAAATATGAATCAGATTTGATATGATAAAGAACAAATAGGAAACATTTATAAATCTAACATATTTCATTTTTATTGAAGCTTTATCAGAGAATGTTCACACACACATATATATATATATATATATATATATATATATATATATATATATATATATATTCCCAAGAGGATAGAATCAGATAGAACTCAATGTCCAGGACAGTAAGAATATAATATAAAAGGCTCAAACACTAATATTCCATGATTTATAAATTATTACATTGGAATTGTAATCACGATCAATTCATTAGACCTACAAATTCAAAAAAGAATTGAATTTTTGAATTTGTAGGTCTGATGAATTGGATCATGATACGATTCCAATGTAATAAAAAAATGTTTGAGCCTTTTTATTTATATATATATATATATATATATATATATATATATATATATATATATATATATAGAGAGAGAGAGAGAGAGAGAGAGAGAGAGTTAATGATATTGTTTGGAAATCCATATAGGTAATTCCAAGAAGGATATAATCCAGAGAGCTCAATGTAAGAACAGAGCAAACATTAACTATTAATAAGAAACAGACAACTTTAAGGTTAAGTGATTATAATTTATTTCCTTAGGACTGAGATTTGATCCTAATTCCTCAGACCAACCATTTCCATACAAATAAATCTTACTTATTATAAAACGCAGATTGTGTGTGTGTGTGTGTGTGTGTCTGTACGTTTATATATTGGATCGGATTTCCTACGGTTTTCAACCGATTTCAACAAAACTTCACAGGACTATGTACAATTACCTTGCGGTGGTTCTGACAGCGCCAAAAATTAGAAAAACACAATTGTTTTTGCATGAAATCAATTTGAAAACATGATAAAACACGATTCTGTCGCCAGAATGAAAGGGGGACAACTCATATCGAGTTATACTTATTATAAAACCTAGGTTGTGTGTGTGTGTGTTCGTTTATATATGGGATTGGATTTCCTACATTTTTACACCGATTTCAGCAAAACTTTACTTTTTTCGCAGGTAGTGTTTCTTATTGTCTTGCACACTTTTTTCTTTATTTTTACATTCAGAATGCTTTAAAAATTCCATTTACAAGACAATTGTTTATAATAAAATTCTATTCAATCGGTAGACTCATAACGATTGAAAACAATGTTTTTGTTTGAGTTTGACCAATTCGTAAAAAAAACAAACAAAACAAAACAAAATCTAATTAAGACATGCGTGTCCATCAGCCTTAAACAATAATCTTTGTCAATTCTATTTTTTAGTCTTCATGATGGTCGATACTTGATCTATCTCTTACTGTTACATCCCCTGGCAACTGCTAGTGGGTGATAAATTTTCCAGGCTAAAAAAGATTTATATAGTAATATTTTTAATTTATGTACACATTTGTTTGAGGAGGAAGGTTTAGATTGGCAACAGGAAGAGCAGAAAGAGATATCTCTCTCTTCAAAAAGGAATAAGGTGATGGAGAGAATGGAAGACGAAAAAGTAGATAAACAAAATTAGGAAGGAAAAAAAGATAAATAAGTATATATATATATATATATATATATATATATATATATATATATATAAAAATAACTTTAAGGACAAGGAACATATTTGAAAAAAAAAAAATAAATTGTAACTAAATATGTTCCTTATCAGCATCTTTCTTTTATATTGTCAACGATTCTGTTTTTGAGGAAGTGTCAGTTGAAAGGCACCTAAAATCGTGTTCTTAAATGAGATACTTTTGTATCTATTTTAATAATAAAAAAATGACCCTAGTCATTAAAATTATTTTTGTCTTTGTACAGCATTAAGAAAAATATATATATATATATATATATATATATATATATATATTTATATATATATCAGGTCATCCCATAGGATCTGTCCGATTTTACCTATTTTTAAAATGAACAAAATTTAAAGAGTATTTTATAATGTCTAATGGAGCTGAACATTATTTTTATGTTTAGATGCATTTAAACTGATCAAATTTTATTTCAGAGAACAATAAAATTAAATTTTGTTTGATTAAAACCCTGTTAACATGGAAGTACCCAAGAATCATTTGAGGCACATAATGCTTTATGAGTTCAAGAAAGGAAACTCAGCAGCCGAAGCGGCTAGAAACATTCACTCAGTTTATGGAGAAGAATGTGTGAATGAAAGAACTTGCAGAAGATGGTTTGCAAAATTCAGAGGTGGAGATTTCATCCTTGAAGATGAAGATTGAACCAGACGTCCAGTTGAGTTTGATGAAAACCTTCTTGAAGCAGCCCTTGAAGAAAATCCTGCTTTATCAGTTGCGGAATTGGCAGTGGTTCTCAGTTCAAACCATACAACTGTTCATCATCTTCAACAACTTGGAAAAGTTCCTAAACTTGGAAAATGGGTGCCTCATGAATTGTCTGAAAACAACCTCAAATCCCGAGTTGACATCTGCTCTTCATTCCATTTTCGCCAACTTGTTTCACCTTTTTTGGATAGACTTGTGACGAAAAATGGATCTTTTATCAAAATGTTAAGTGCCGTAGACAGTGGTTTGATAAAGGGGAAGGACCCCAGCCACAGCCAAGAAGAGAACTTCATGGGCAAAAAGTTCTTTTTTCAATCTGGTGGGATCGCCAAGATATAATCCACTTTGAATTCTTACCACCTAATGCAACAATTAATGCTCAAATATACTGTCAGCAATTAGAGCGTTTGAACCAAGCTTTGAGGAAAAAAGACCTGTTCTAGTGAATCGAAAAGGGGTGATGTTTCATCAGGACCCCACACAGCAAGAATCACGTCACAAAAGATCAAAGAACTTGGTTGGGAGAAAATTCTTCATCCACCTTATTCTCCCGATCTTGCTCCTTCAGACTACCATTAATTTTGTAGCTTACAGAATCATTTGAATGAAACAGCTTTTGTAACACAGGAAGAGGTTACAACTGACATTTGTGAGTTCTTCGAATCAAAGCCAAAAGAATTTTACAGTAATGGAATTAGTAAGCTTGTTAATAGATGGAAGGAAGTCATAGATAATCAGGGAAAATACATTGTTGATTGAATCTGTAATTAAATGTAACATTTGGTTACTTGTTTTCTTTATTCAAAATTCGGGCAGAACTTATGGGATGACCTGATATATATATATATATATATATATATATGTTTAGATATATTTTCACACTGTGAAAAGTTATCAAAGAGCTGCCTGATAAATGGCAACAGTTCATTAAAAATAATAGTGAATGCATTATTGCATAAAATCTAATTGTACTTTATTTTTTGGAAGAATAAACTCGATAAGCAGAAACAAAAGTTATCTACAACTCAGCTTAATAAGAGGTATTTCAAAGAAAATGTACATTTTATATTCTGACATTTATTTTTATCTTGTAGAACAACAATCTTTCTTTAAATATGTGTGTGAATAAAACATCAAAATTCTAACTGTTTGCTAATATATAAATGTGAATAAAGACAAAAAGACATCTTAGCCACCACATTTCATCCTTTGATGAACTTTGATACACTCTGATGGCTAAGTTTTACTTTTCTTTTCATTTATATTGTCCTTTTACAGATATATTTTTAGTTATATCTGAAATTTTACTCCCACATATATATACTATTTACATTATTTGGACTATTGTCCTCATCTTTGTCGCCATATTTATTACAACTTTTCTGCCGTTGTACGCTCCAGCCTTCTTCAGGAATGGCAAACTGAACCCTTTATTTCACTCACTGGGGTAGACTGTTCTAGTTCCACGTGCCATGTCTAATGGATGTCAGTTATCAGTTATCTCCTGTTAATTCCCCTCTCCAAGTTCTCCACCGCCTTAACCAGCTATACACCCATGGTATTGAACTCATACTCTTTGGGTCCTGTCACTGGATCTAACCAACGCCTTTATCCACTGTGCCATGTGTCCTTGAAGGCTGGAGCATACAACGGCCGAAATGTTGTAATAAATATGGCAACAAAGATATGGACAATATTGTGAATAATGTAAATAGTGTACATAATACCTCATCTCAGAAATATATATATATATATAAAATAAAAGAGAGTGAGAATCACTCTTCTCATTCATGTATCTGTTATACATAGCCAACGTATTTCATGTAGAGTCATCAAATTTGATAGGCAGATTTATTTGAACCAGAACTAGGTTTTACAGTAAGAAAAAAAAAAACATACATTTATGCATGGGGAAAGGAAGTGTGTACATCTTTTCTGTTATATTGGTTTATCTTGTATCATTTGTAACCATTGATGAAAGACTATAATTTCTATTTTGGAAGAAGAATATTTATGCGCTTTGAAAAAGTAATTTCCCAGAACAATTACCACTCCTCAACTCTATTTTCTAGTTTTCATCATATTTTTACATTCGAAATTAACCAGGAAATTTATTTGGTTATGACACAATTTTCTTTCTTTTTGTTTTCTTTTTTTTTAAAGAAATAACTTGTTTATAAGCAACTCTATACAAATTTGACTAAATCTTTAGCAACTCCACAAATGATGTCAGTGTGTCTTAAGCAATTCCAAAACGGATTTTTTTTTTAAAAAGACAAACATAAAATTAACCCTAGAACACTAACCATCAATTAAAGTTACACCACTACTAACCATGGGTATATCATACCCAATTGTGAAAATATCACAATAAATATTAAATATAAATCTTTATTAGAAATATTTTACATGCAGGCACTTCAAACTTTTTACTTTGAGTTAACATTAATAGGAACTGAAAAACATTATTTAGGTAAGAAAATCAGGTACTGAAAATTGTAACTAAAAATAGGAAAATGTGTGCTGGGTACTATACACCCATGGTTAGTGTTGTAGGGTTAAACAAAAAGAATTACTAAATATGTTATTTTAGGTTGTATTCAAAAATGCTACTAGTATTAAAAAATATTTGACTCAAGCATAAAAAAAAAATTTAAGCAACTTTGGTACTAATTCTTGTACAAATATAAGCAATCCGAGTACTGACAAAAAAGTTTTCTAATTGCTGTATATATTTTTATACTTATGGTACATTACATCACAATGGAATTTGATGTATGATAGATTATCAATGAAAAGTTTGTTGTCATTAAAGATTGTAAAATTGACATTTATTTATATAAAAAAAATATTATTTACTTTTTATATATATATATATATATATATATATATATATATATATATATATAATGATAGGATAAGGAACACATAATAAATGTTTTGCTTTTATTAAAGCTTCAGAGAATTTTTTTCTGTATCTCATTCTTTGATGAAGCATTAATAAAAGCAAAACATGTTAGATTTATAAATGTTTCCTATTTGTTCTTTATCATATCATTCTGTTGGATTCAGATCCATATTTGATCTTAATTTATTTAAAGTGGAGAAAAAAAAAAAAAAAAAAATAGAAAAGAACAAATAATCATGGCACCCTACATGTACACACATCTGCACAGATGGATGTGCACATACACTGTAAAAAAAAAAAAAAAATTTGTACCAGTGATAAGTGCATATAAAAAAAGAAATATTGAGAAGTATAAGCAGTCAATTGCTGACACCCCCTGACGAGTGGATGGAGTCATTCTTGGAGTGCTTGTCTATGAAATGCTGGAGTTGGGATGGTGAAGGTAACATCAATCAGCTAAGTGACAAACCTTTCACTTGTATTAATTATATATATATATATATATATATATATATATATATATATATATATATGAAGAAATATAGTCTTAAGGTGTGTGCTATATTTATGAGATAAAGTGCTCAATATCAGAGATAGAGCATGTAAATATAAAGTGAACATTGAAGTCAACACTTAGGCGACAGTCTGTTTCATGCTAGGCAGTAGTCAGGCCACAGTCTGTTTCATGCTAGACATGATAGTCAGGCCACAGTCTGTTTCATGCTAGCGGCATGTAGTCAGGCCACAGTCTGTTTCATGCTAGACGCAGTAGTCAGGCCACAGTCTGTTTCATGCTGATCTGTTTCATGCAGGCGTAGTCAGGCCACAGTCTGTTTCATGCTGACGCAGTAGTCAGGCCTGAGTCTGTTTCATGCTAACGCAGTAGTCAGGCCACAGTCTGTTTCATGCTAGACGCAGTAGTCAGGCCACAGTCTGTTTCATGCTAGACGCAGTAGTCAGGCCACAGTCTGTTTCATGCTAGACGCAGTAGTCAGGCCACAGTCTGTTTCATGCTAGACGCAGTAGTCAGGCCACAGTCTGCTTCATGCTAGACGCAGTAGTCAGGCCACAGTCTGTTTCATGCCTGTAAGTGTTGACTTCAATGTTCACTTATATATTTACACATGCTCTATCTCTGATATTGAGCACTTTATCCCATAAATATAGCACACCTTAAGACTATATTTCTTCATATATATATATATATATATATATATATATATATATATATATATATATATATATAATTAATACAAGTTAAAGGTTTGTCACCATGGCCTGACGACTGCGTCTAGCATGAAACAGACTGTCGCCTCTAAGTGTTGACTTCAATGTTCACTTATATATATATATAAGAAATTATAATAAAAACCTTTTGAAATCGCTGCACAAAAGCTTTCATGTTTCAATACTATGATTATACTTTTACAAGCAATGGTAAGTAACTGGTGATTAAATAATTTTTAAAAACTTTAAAAACAAAATATTACCTCTTTTTCGAAAGTTAAACGGGGTGGGAGCATAAGGTCAGAATTAAAAATAGACTTGTGGCTATGTCTTGATTAACCAATTAAATGTAAGATCTACACTAAATAGAAAAGTAAGTTCAGAGGGTGGAGGTGAGGGAATTATTTTTTCATGTCAGGATAAATCAGGACATAGAGAGGCCATCATTGACAACTGCAGAAATTATGTCAGCGATATATTGCTCTACTTTGTATTGAGCACTTTTTTAAAAGTAAATGCTATGTACAGTGAATTTTTACTCCTAATGTTCTTTTATTTGGATATATATATCATGATCACATACCAAAAGTTCTTTTTTTACAGTGAACTCCATAGTGGTCATAGAAATGTTGGTAGCCCTTGTCTCAGGTATAAAGATAAAGTGAAAAGAAACCTTTCTTGCATCAACATTCCATTCAAGAACTTTGAAGAGGTAGCTATGAAGATATCAGAGTATCATTCTAGCTGCCATGCAGGAATAATGCACCATCAAAAAGTAAACATCAGTTGACTACGTGAAACACAAAAGCAAAATAAGGCAGTTAACAGTGTTCCTGCTGCACTTGGATACAATACTTTCTCCTGTACTGTTTGTGGTCTTTTGTGCGATTCTCGAGCCATCATAGAAATGCAGATAATTATATATATATATATATATATATATATATATATATATATATATATATATATATATATATATAATTACTTTATGGTTGTCAGAACCTTATATGTCGAACTCAATGGGAGAGTCCATCATATTTTATTTGTTTCCACCAGAAACATTAATGACAACAAAGTTTTCATTAATAAAGATTGTAAAATAAACATTTCTTATTTATATATATTTTATTTGTTTCACTTTTGTATAAGAAGTGATAGAAACTGAATTCAATTATGTTTTGTTTCATCCAGCCAACACATCAGTACAAAGAAATCACTTGTCATTATTATCAATCTTGAATGCTATACAGAAACAGTTCTTCAAACATTAATGTTATTTATACTAAATTGATCATAAGTAATTTCCATTTTGGGGGAACGACTTTTAATGACAAATGTATCATCCTAAATAAAAAAAAATAATACATGGCAGTAAAGAATGGTGTACATGAACATACCCTAATCTTAGCACAGCAGTAGCAGCATGAACAGTGGATTAAAAGAAAATGCCAATCCCCTCTATGGCAACACAAGGTTGCATACAGCAAAAATAACACAGGAAAATATTTTGGAACTCAGTTTGTTCTTCTGCACACACCATATTCACCTGACCTACACCAACTGATCATTACTGTTTTGCTGAAAATGCTTCAATGGGGGGAAAACTTTTCCTAATGAAAACTAGAATCAAGTGTTTGCCAAAAACTTTCACATCAAAACATGTGGAATTTGGCTCAAAAGTTATCAAAGAGCTGCCTGATAAGTGGCAACGGTTCATTAAAAATAACAGTGAATGCATTATTGCATAAAATCTAATTGTACTTTATTTTTGGAACAATAAGGTCAATAAGAAGAAATGAAAATTATCTACAACTCGGCCCAATAGGTCGTATTTCAAAGAAAATGTACATTTTATATTCTGATATTTTTATCTAGTAGAGCAACAATCTTTCTATAAATATGCATGTGAACAAAACAGCAAAATTCTAACAAACTCTAAAGTTACTTTCATCTTTAGTCACAAGATTTTCCAATTAATAAATTATTTTTTTATTTACAAATCAAATATACTATCGTACAATCTCAGATGAAATTAAGATGTGAATTTTTTAAATAAATAAATGTCTGATCATTTTACAGTTAAAATAGCTACATGTAACCGTAAATTCTATGCTAACAGTTTCTTCTCTCTCAATTCTTGCTTGTGAAACTTTTCTAAATTCATGTTCCTTTACTGTTCTCTCTCTTTAAGGTTTCCTTATTTTTCTCATATTCTTTTACATTCAGTAACCCCTTGTGTCTTAATGATTTTAGTGCTTTGCTTGGAATGAAATGATTAAAAAAAAACAAAAAAAGGTAAAAAAAAAAAAAAAAAAGAGATTATGCTTCAGGTTATTGAAAGAAAAAAAAAAAAAAAAAGGTGATTATAGAGATTACTGGATATATTTATTGGAACTTCTTAAACCAAACACAGCAAAAAGAAAATCCAGAATTTACTCACCGGTGTGTGAAGTTCTAATTTGTATGCATTCTCACCAGCCATCACCTCTAACATAGGTAATAGATCCTCAGCATAACGACACATGGGACCTGTAGACAGGAAATCTGCCCTTGGACCATATGCACATGGATACTGTCCCACATTACTCACAATACCTATAATTAAAAAGTAAAAAATACCTATAATTAAAAAGTAAAAAATATAATTTGCTTTACTTGATAATTTCTGGAAATATAAATATAAACACAACAAAAACATTTTTTTAAAATAAATAGTTTGTAATAGTATTTGGAATTACGGACAGATATTTTAGCCTGATCTAGGCTCATCTTTATTTCAGTTGGTATGAGAAAATATATGGTATGTTATTTTGAATGACAAAAATGGAAAAAGTCCAATGTGATGCATTCTGTTCTTCAAAAAGTCTTCCTCAGACTAAATAATGTTTTTATTGATGGAATTGTGTGTTGATGGTGGGAATGAAATACAAACAAACACTGCTGAAAATGCAGGGATACATTTCTTTTTTTATCATTTCACCCCGAGCAAGGTGATAATGCCACTAAGACACAATGGCTACTGGGAGCAAAAGAGAATAAAACTTTGGAAGATGGAAGCAGAAACCCAATCCTAAACAGGAAACAAGAGATAAACTTCTAGTCCTGTTCAAAAGATGGCGAAGGTGTGTAAACTGGGTGATAGACGAACCTATCCATTAACTTTAAATTTTAAATTTCTGGCGTCCAATGTGTCTAATTAGCTGACCTTGTTCAGCATCCTAGAACTTCTATTTTTGTTTTTTTATTACTGTGATTGTTGTGAGCAAGATACGCAACATGATGCCCAAAAACGTCTATGCATTCCATGTGTATGGTGTCACAGAGCAGTTGGAGGAAGGGAGAATTGGCGGAGTGCGCCTACACATATGTAAAACTCTCCCACTCAACCAATTGGCTGCTTCATCATGGTCTATAAAATGAGTGTGTCTGAAGGCTTTGGCAGTGGGGGCCGAGGGAGCCGATGAGGACGGCTGCCCTGTTCGAGAGATGACTGCACTGTTCCAGCAGGTCTTTTTTGGCATGACGGCTACAAATTTAAAATTTAAATTTTCTATATTGTAATAGAATTAGTTTTCTTAAAAGAGGTGATATACTGTATGTGGCAGCAGATAGAAACTTTCAAGTAGATCTAAATGAGCTGAAAATACTTTAACCTTTAGCACACTGTAGGTTTGCAAAATGTTAGTCCTGTCAATGCAATTTGAATTTCTTGGTTGTGTAGTCATATCCTTCTATGGCAACACCTAGAACAACCTTGACTGAAATTTCAAATATATAGAAGTAATATATAAAACCCTATATTTTGAGGGGATTCCATATACAGTAAAAGGGGAAGTAATATCTATAAATGATCCAGTGTATTAAATGTTAAAACGCTAATTAAACCTTGGTGGGGGTGTGATGCTCTCTGTAAATGAGCAATCTAGAAAATATCAAATCAGGTGGTAGTTTCCCCTTAAAAGGGAAACAGAAATTTGAACTGTCATAATTCTGAAATTATTATTTTCATATTATTTTTTTCCTGCTATGCGACAATATGGAAACAAAAATCATATGTCACACATTTCAACCTTTCAAAAAGACTTCTTCAGACTAAATAATGATTTTACTGATGGAATCATATTCATGTGGTAAAGCAGTGGCTCTCAACCTTTTTTGACCCATGAACCATTTTTACTCTTAATTTTTTTTTTTTTTTGGTGGACCCCCATAACCATTCAATAAAAAAAAGTTCATTTTATTTTTTACTAATAGATAAGTTTAGGAATTGTATTATAGAAATAGTAAATGTATATGCTTTATTTTAAAGTAAAACTAATTTAATGAAAACAAATTTAGATTTAACAACTAAATTCTATGGAACATTTTTGTACACTTGTTTCATCCTTACTCCTATGGAATCCTTCTGGAAGTGTCTTTTCATGAAAATTGACTTTCCCCAAACACCATAGCTCGGTACTCAGGGTTGGACATTGGGGATCTGGGGACAGCAATGCAAGTCTAAACAGTGTGGAAAGGGATTATCAATGGAGTTCCAACCAACCATACTAAGGTTAAAGGATGATGTACACTAGTAAAATAAGTCATAATAAACCATTTTAAAATATGTAAGTAATTAACCCCCAATTTACTATTTTTTGTGCAGACCCCAGTAATGGTCCATATGGATCCCAGTCGGGAACCACTGAGGTAGAGGGAAAGAAATATGAACAAATGTTGGTTTATACATTAAGAGAAATGCTGATGATGCAGGCGTAACTTTAAATTTCTGGCATCTGATGTGTCAAGATGCACAATCTTATTCATACCACTTCTGTTTTTAATTGCTGTTGTTTTTTAAATATCCCACATTGCAATGGCAATAGTCAGTCCTATGTATCATTCCTTCAATCTTTATATCAGATCAGACCATGGAATATTGCTGCCATATCTTGTCTAATGCTGCCCAATTCTCACTGTCCAGCATCGACAGAATTCAAAAGCACTTAGTTTGCCTTGTAGGCGAAGAATTATATTCCACTCTGCAACATTTAACTCATTAGCCTCTCAATACTTCATCATTATTAGTATGGCAGATATTCAGATGAGATACATTCTTTAGTTCCCCCAATTCCTGGGTATAACAAACTACACAACCTGGCAGCAAGGCTGCTGATCGGGAGATTGGAGGTTTTGAGGAGCATGGAACCACCTCTTAATTACTGTTGTTCCTCAGACCTGGGATGGTAGCACCTGTTAGGGTCCTAGCTATGGGCAAATAGTGAACCCCCAAACAAAAACAAAACACAATAAAAGCATAAAAATACATTTCTATAGTAAAAATACCAGGAATACATATTTATATGAAAAAATACCAAAAATACATCTTTATAGTAAAATAACCCCCAATACAGTTTTAAAGCAAAATGACCAGCAGTTCATTTTATCTGTAGTTGAAGCCATAAAATTGTGTTTAAAATACTTCAATTTCAGCATTAAATGGCCCATGAGGAGTTGATATGCCATTAATCAATAAATAGTTTCACCAGTTCAGATATTCATATCTACGACCTGCTATACCACATTCCAGTGGCAAACTATCTCCATTCCTTTTGTGTTCCTTTGATGAAGAGCAAGTTCCACTTGGATTTTTATCTAGAACTGTTGCTTTGTGGAACAGACTCCCAAGAGAATGCTCCACAATGTTAGTCTCTTCAAGTTCGGGGTCAACCAATATCTATCCTACACATTCTCATAATATCAGTCAGTCATGTGCCATGCATGTTACATGCTTAGGCAATCAAGTATCTTTCATGACTGATAAGGCAAATTTTTTTCTCGCAGTAGACCAATTGCCATCCAAGGCTATATAACTCAGTCTGTCCTTCTATTTACCCATAGCTGGGGGGAGAAGAAAAGGATTCATACCTTTCCCAAGAGTATTAGCACATATGTGAACATAATAGATTCAACTGGAATTCAAACTCAGCTCTCCGATTCCTCAATTCGAGCTGCCGTCCATTACTCCACTGCGCCTCCTCTCATAATATGCATTTCTTAATTCCTCCTTTCTCATCCCTTAAAACAATCTTCATCAGTAACTTTCTACCTTGAGTGGCACTTGGGCCTTGTATTGGGTGAACCATCAGTAAATAAAAAAAGATGTACATTTAATATGGAAGACTCAGAAATTTAAAAAAGGCTTAAAGAATTCAATATAGTAGTTTTAATTAAAAGAGAAATACATTTATTGAAGTGGATATTGTATAGAAAGTGTGCTAACTTCTGAGTCAAAACTGAACTCCCTCACACAGAATATTTCTAAGAAAATCCCCCATGATAAAAATTAGTTAATTCTGAGAAAAACTGTATTTGATGATGGCAGTTGTTGTCCAAAATGATGCCCTGTGGACCATGAACTAATGTTTTAGAAAAAAAACAAAAAACTTTTATGCTGATTAATTAATCAGCATAAAAGTTTTTGCTGATTAATTAATTACACTAAAAATAAGTCATTGCAAATTTTCAAAAATTATATTTATTTTGAAAAATTTTTGTTAATGGTGTACCAAACTTGAATCATTTTATGCCAAAGCAGGCATTTTTTTCAATATATTTTTTTTGTATTTTAGTAGTTGATTAGTTGATTTTGTTTAGTGGCATATCAACACCTCTACGAGTTATTTAATGCTGAAATCTAAATATTCTGTACGTAATTTTATGCTTTCAGGGCAAATGTATGTTTTTATATATATATATATATATATATATATATTTTGTAGGTAATAAAATATATTGTTGGCAATTTTACTATAAAATGCATTTTTATATTTTTTTTAGTGTTGCATTGATTGTCATTTTTCTATAAAAATGTATTGTTGGTCATTTTATTATAAAAATGTACTGTTGATTTTTGTTGGGGGGGGATCACTATTTGCCCATAACTGGGACCCTAACAGGTCTTACGACCCTGGGTCAGAGTGGACCTAGGAACAACAGCAGTTAAGAAGTGGCTCCACACTCCTCAAAACTTCCAATCTCCTGATCAGAGACTGCTGCCGGATGTAGTTTATCATCATACACAGAACACTATTTTGATAGTTGCATTTGTTGTTCAAGTGGTTTTCCTGATCCAGTCATCTGTAAAGGTCCAAATTGTTGAAGAATCTCTCAGTTTCTGTGGATCCAATTAGTTTTGAATAGCCAATCCTCCTCCTTCCACTATCATTTTTATTTTGAAAAAATATACCCATTTCTAAAGCCAATGTGATGAATGACATGTCTTTCTTTTTTTCTTTTTAAAAAAAAAAAAAAAAAAAAAAAAAAGACGGATCTTTAAAATCTAGTTTAATGGTAGACAGCTGGATTCATGTATCTACTTCATTCACTTAATTTAAGTGTCTTTTGTTTTTAAGTTTGAAGGCCGAGACAACTAATGCAATTTGAGAATCACATCTACATACTTGGGAACACCATCCTCAATTAGAAAGCATCTGAGCAAACTGGGTTACCTGACTTGAAGGTATTTTTAACTGAACTGCATGTGCAACGTTATGCACAGCTTTTATCAAAACCTATCACCATATCAGACGCATTTGGCTGTGCTGCATGTGCCCGGTATACCCTTATCTGACTGGATGTCATGATGGGTATATTGGGCTTTGTATATTTGTATTCCAACATCGCTGTAATGACATGCTATTCTCGCACTCAATAGAAATAATACTTCCTGACTGAAACAAGACAAAATTAAACCTAAAAACTATACGACTATCTGACGCCTCACAACAATTTATTATCTTGATGTCAGACATTTTCATGTTAGTCGATGAAAATTCTGTTCTTGTGACATGACATCAACAAGACTGCTCACAACTCAAGAACTTTTTAAAAGGATCCTTGCAGTGTAAATGAAAGCAGTTTTCTGGAACTATGCAATCTTGGTCACAATTCCAATTTTCCCAAAGTGTTTTTTGAAATTTTCTAGGTTGTGTTCCAAGCACACATGTTACTACAGGAATTAGTTCTACATTCATGTTCTATAGCTTTTTTGACTCTCTGGCAAGATTGCAGATGGTTGGTTGATTTTGTTTAATAGCATATCAACCACTATGGGTTATTTAATGCCAAAATCTAAATATTTTAAAGTTAGTTTTATGACTTCAACTACAGATTAAATGTATTATTGGTCATTTTGCTATAAAATTTATTGCTAATGATTCTGCTTTTAAAATATATTGTTGGTCATTTTACTATAAAATTTATTGCTGATGATTCTGCTTTTAAAATATATTGTTGGTCATTTTACTATAAATATGTAATGTTGGTAATTTTTTTTTATATGAAAACATATTGCTCATAATTTTTACTATAAAAATGTATTTTTATACTTTCATAATGTTTAGGGGTTCACTATTTACCCATAGCTGGGACCCTAACAAGTGCTACCACCCGGGTTAGGGTGGACCTGGGAACAACAGCAATTAACAGGTGTTTCCATACTAAAAAAAAAAAAATTCCAATCAGAGGTCTTGCTGCTGGATGTAGCATATCGTCATACCCAGGACAATGAGATTGTAGTATTTTTTTTATCTTTTCAATTTCTTTGGAATGCATTCTTGTATAATATGGAACAGCAAAATGCATCATTTTACACTTGCTACTCTCCTTATCTATAACAATAAGGTTGAAACTTTGATCATCAATGACATTATTATTATTATTGTTATTATTTTTGTTGTTGTTGATATTATTATTATTATTATGATGATGATGCTGCACTGCATTTGTCCAATATACACTTCTCAGTGTGGGTGTTATGAATATATTGGGTTTTGGGTATTTGCTCCCTAGCTTTACTTTGTTGGCATGCTGTTACTTAATAGTAATAACTAAAAATTACAAAGCACATGCTGAAAAAATGTGTTGGCCCCAAATGCAGATTCTGTGATAAATATCCAGAAACATTTTACTATCTTGTGTCAGGTTGCACAGTGTTAGCACCCACTGAATATAAAACTTGGCTTGATAGAGTGGGTCAATATCTGTACTGGAAAATATGCCACTTTTATAGGAAGGAAACTGCACAAAATGGGTATGAACATCACCCAGACCCGGTTACAGAGATATGGCTTGTAACAATTTTATGAGACTTTACAATACACACAAACAGAACAAACAAAGCTAATAGCCCAGACATTGTGATCAAAGACCACAAGAACAGAATTTGCTTTCTTATTGATGTGGCTGTCGCTGCCAATTGTAATGTATCTTTGAAGATCTTCAAAAAACTATCAAAATACAAGGATCTTTAAATAGAAATCTCAAAAATATGGCAAATAAGGACATCAATAATTCCATTTGTAACTGGAGCCTTTGCTGTTCTGCCTACCCCCACCAAAACTTTAATATGAACAAGTACTTCATGTCTATTTTAGATTTTTCCAACTTGGGAGCAACAAACCCTCAAAGAAAAATGGCAGGGTGTAATGCTTTTTTTAAAATTACCAAAAGGGAATTATCCAATTTAAATGAAAATTTCAGTATATATTTATTATTTACTTTTATAATAAATAGAACTTTTTATTTTAAAAAATCTGAGAAAATGTTATTCTTTTTATAATAACCACTAATATTTTCATGACTAAATTTTACTCAAAACAAATGTTTAAGTCGCAAATTATTATATATCCATAAAGATTAATCGCCGATGCATCTACGCTGAAAAAAAAAAAAAAGTTTTACAAGGATTCCAACACAACACAAACGGGATTGTCTTAAAAATTTGTTTTAAAAACAGTATTTAGGTTTTCTGGAAAATTTTTCATGTGTTGAAATCTTTATTTTTTAAATTTTTTTTTTTATTTTTTAAGTGATCATTATCTTTTCAGAAATGTAAAAATAGGGACTAGAAATTTTATTTTAATTAATAGCCATGTGCTTCTGGTTATTATTACTTTTAGTAAAAAAAAAAAAAAAAAAAAAGATCAGAGATTCTCCTTAGGAATAAAAAAACGATTGTTACCAAGATATATTACCCTCTTAATTGATTTAAAAGAACTGTTCAGACAGAAAATTACAATTTAAAAACATAAGCGCTACTGAAATTAGCAATTTTGTCCCTCCACCACCCCAATAGGCATAGTACCCACACTCAGTTGACAGGTTCAGAGTAGTAAGCACCAGCCCTGTTAATTATTATAGTTGATGACTGATAATATAGTAGAGAAAAAGTAAAAAGTACAAAAAGTAAAAAAAACTGTTGAAACTAGCCCTTTTAAGTCTCCAACCTTGTTGGGTGTTCCTGCATAGTATGCACTGCCCTGGCCACGCAGATACACAATGTATATTATTCGTTGATGACTGATAATGTAACATCAGTTTAAAAATAATTTAAAAAATGGCAGATGACCATAAAACAGTACTGGAAAAAAATGGCAGAAGCCACAACAGGGCCCCAAAAAATGTAGAAGCTTCGGGAGTAAGATGTGCTGGCCCTGAGCCCTCTGATTGATTGGAAAAGGTTCCAGTAGAATCATTGAAGAGATTCCTGATAGACCATGCCTTAAAGAAATACAAAAAATTGTACTCACTAATTCACACATTACAAAGAGCTTTATCTATGTAAAATATGTGCATTCTTAGCTTCTTTTTTTTTTTTTTTTTTTAATTTATTTACAAAAAATGATCAGTGGAAAATGTCATAAATCCTTTTCTGACCTTAGGTCACCAATTGGGACCCAGAAGGTAATGTGTATACAACAGAAACCCAAGGAAATAACAACATGAATCAACAGAATTTTGCTAACCTTTTGAAGTGCGGTGACCAAAAACTCCATTGAAAAAGGATGGCATTCTAATGCTACCACCAATGTCAGAACCAATTCCTATCACAGAACTTCCAGCGCCAAGAAGGCAGCCCTCACCACCTAAAAAGAGATAGAGAAAAAACACATATGATGGAACCATTCTTTGGTTTATACAAAAGCATGTGAATTAAAAATTTGTTTCAGATTGATATAATGAATATGCATACACCTGGGTTCCCCCTCACAGTAATATGATTGGCGGGTGCCAGCCATAAATACAGACTGATATGGAGGTACATGACAACGCCTATTCGCTACACCTATTGTCATTGCCTATTGCCTACGTCTATTGCCTATGCCTATTACTAAAACAAGAACCAGTCCATTATGGTTACCTGCTAGATTGTCCTACTCAGTTACAGTAGTCCAAAACCACTTTGCTACTTCGAACAAATATATCCTTTTCTGTGACATATCAAAGACAAATATAGAAACTAAGAATCTTTAATACTGTTGCTATACAAAATTAACAATATCTTTTAATATTAATATATTTTATATATATTTTGCTATTTACAGAATTAACAATATCTCTTAATATTAATATATTTTATATATATTTTGCTATTTACAGAATTAACAATATCTCTTAATATTAATATATTTTATATATATTTTGCTATTTACAGAATTAACAATATCTCTTAATATTAATATATAATATTAATAATATATTTTATATATATTTTGCTATATACAGAATTACCACAATACCCATGTGGTCGGCAATCTCTTTAACAGGGATGGTGGAAGTGGTGTGGAAAGGGAAAAATGCATCGGCGACCTTCGGTCCCTGCTGAAAATCCAGTTCGTTGAAGCATGTCGAGTGCTCGGCGTTGTGTGGATCACTGTCTGCTCCGGGTAAGGTGGTATCAGTGGTCGCTATATGAGCTTGAGCGTGGGGAGGGTGAAAATAGGGACATCTGTTACCCTTGAAGCATGTACGGCCTCGTAGATAGTTTCTGCATACTGCGGGTGGCGGATTGGCCAGTGCCTCTTTGCGTCGGCTGTGCTTCATGTTGGAGGAGGGGCGGTCTGATTGTTCCTGTTGATGGTGGTTGGTCGTGCCTGTGCACCTGCCGTAGTTGCTTCGTTCAGGTCCAGCAATTGTCGCTTTCGTCGGCTAGTATTCTGTCACTTTCAAGGCTGTGAGGCTTGCTGGAGTTTGCAGGTTGGCTCGCAATCAATGCGGTTGTTTCAACGGAGGTGGTCATGTCTGTTTTGATGCCGCGATCGAGAAAGCGTTACGCGTCGCTGGCAATACCGCCCGTTGAGTAGTGTCTATCCATGGTTTTGACGAGGTGTGGATAAATGTTAGGTGCCCATGCCTTGATCCTTTCGCTCATGAGCATGGCCCCCCATTAGGGAGAAAGCGGTGTCAGCCGTCATCTCAGCATTTTGTTTGTCCAACTTGAATCTCGCCTTGATGTGGACTGTGGCCTCTCGGATTGTGTTCTCAAGTCGGCCTGCAAAATCAGTGAATTTCTCCCCCTCACAGCGCTGGAGGTCCCATGCCCGGCTCAGATGTTGGAAATTCGTCATCTGGTTCCCTTGAGTGGAGACGAGGTAAGTTTTCAGTTCCTCGAACGTGGCTGTGGATTGTTTTGAGTCTTCCATCTGCTGGAAGATGCCTTCGTTAAGGAGTTGTTTTGCCAGTTTGACGAATTCTTTCTCCATCTCGGGGTATTCGCTCAACTCTGGCTTAACGTGTATTGTGTAAGCTTAGCTGAGATCGGTGATAAAGCGGTTGACGTCATTGCCTGGTTTGAAGGCCCGGATGGATTTCGTAGCGTCCCGAAGTGATTGCTGTCGCATTAATAGGTCGTAGTTTGTGGCGTATCGCGGTGAGTGTGAGCGATCATGTGTGGTAGTCTGCAGAGCGGCTAAAAGTTCGTGAAGGTCTGCTTTTAGTTCGTTAATGATCGATTGTGTTTGGGGGTTGTCAGCCTGTTCCATGTCGATTTTCATTTGGAGAATCGCTGTTTTTTGTTGCTTGATGAGTTCCAGAATTTCTGAGTGAGAGAAGCCTGAGTATTCCATTGTTTTGCTGTACGCTTGACACCAGTGTTATATTCCGTATTTAGTTACGTGGGCGATGTGAAAACAATGTGGGCGAAATACTGCGTTTGGTTGCAAACAATGAAATTCAGAATCGAAAGAACAAGAAAGACTGTAGATATATTTTATAGTCTTTTTAGTGAGGAAAATAAGAACAAGTAAAAGGTTCGTATTTGAGAAGTTGAGTGTCTATGGTAGTGGCAAGTAAAGTTCGTGGAGTTAACTTGACATATGGAAGGGGAAAGGTACCCTTTGACAAAGCGTCGGACGAGAGTTCATTAGCAGCAGCAGTCACATGCTTCGTCCATCACCAGGCCCTTCTGCCTCTGCCGTTGAATGGGACTCCCTTTTGACTTTCCCGTGTTGAACTTATACACGCCTATCCGCTCCAAATGGCAATTTTTTGACTACGCGGGAGACTGTCCGATTGGTTGATTTAATTCTTTCATTTTTTTTTTGAGTTTATCCCAAACGGAAGTATCTGCGTCGAGCCTATGCGTAGATGTGCAGTTTTCATTTCGAGTCGGGGACTCGTGATGGTAACTTCCGTTTATCGAAGCAGGGAAAGATCTCATCTTGTAACATTGTTAATACTGTTTACTTAAATATTTGTATCTATAAAAAAGAACATAAAAAATGTCTTAAAAAATAATTGTTGGCTATTTAAGAACATGACTCAAGTGATGTAGTTTCAGTAAGTTCAAAGAAGGATAGTTTTTTTTGACAAGATCCATAAACTTCATTCAAAGTCATGTTTAACCTATTCCTTTGAGAAAGTGGTTGTATGCAATTGGCAGTTTAGATATTTCTGAACAGGTTTGGTGCCTTGCAGGCAATCAATATGAAAGTCTCGATCTGATGAAATGGCTGATATTACCATTATCATTATAAAACAGAAAGTGAATAGATCTATATGCTTCAAGGCGCTTTTAGCCAGATTTTATGCAATAGTTCATGTTTAAATAAGACTAAAAGTCAAACATTTCTTAGGCTCTTTTTAAAACCATAAAAAAGGGTCTGTATGAAAATGCATAATTAACAGTTGAAAATATTTATATGCAGACCAATGTTCTTGTCTGTGTTGTTTTGAGAACTGTAAAGATTTATATTAAAAATGATCACGTAGTTATTGCATAATATATCATTGAATGTATGGGTCATACAATGGTTAGAAATCTAGAAAGAGAAATCGGAGAGAAAAAAATTCAAATTCTGCAGCATTTGTTGTTCACTTTTGCACAAATATCTTTGGAAAAGGTATGAACCCATTTCTTCTCTACCCCTCAGCTATAGATTAAACAGCAGTGCAAAGCTGTCTGATACTGGTAGCAGGTAAAAATGGTTCTCTTGTCTTACATCATAAAATAAGTACAAAGTGAAAAAAATGAAGAATGTTAGTTTGTGTACAATAATGTATACATTTGGTTTTCTTTCTTTCTCTTATTTTCTTACACCTATGACAATGACCCATGTGAACTTGGAATTAATAAAAATGTTGGCAATATTTTACATCTAGAATAGCCATATTTGTGAAAAGTTATTCATGTATTAGAAAAGATGTTCAATAAATTTAATAGACATAAAATGTCTATTCTTTTTAATAAGACTTGTTTGGAAGAACAATTGCTGACAAAATATACTGAATTTAAATATATACTTATTGAGATTTCTGTGATTCTGAGAATCATCTTGAAAATAAAATAAACTAGGTAACAAAAAGTAGTAATAATTAAATATAAAAAAATGAACTATTTTAGTTTTCAAATTTAAAAAAAAAAAAAAAATTCTTCTTATTTTTAGAGTTTTTCAAATTAAAAGTTGAAGAAATATATAAAAAAAATACACCAAAACATTAGGCATTTAAATAAATAAATCCTAGCTAAGTAATATTTCATTATAATTCTTGCCTAACTAACAAACAAAAAAATTTCTTTTGCATCAGTAAGACATTAACAAAAATTACCTTTTATTATGCTTTAAAGAAAAAAAAAAAGAACAATGTAAATGAGATTATTTACCGGAACTGCCTCCAACAATCCGGCCAGTGTGGTAGGGGTTCTTTGATCGTCCATAGACTTTGTTTGCTGATTCATACCACATGCAGAGCTCACTAATATTGGTCACTACGTATGGAATGGCACCAGCTTTGCGCAGGTTATGCACAACATCTGCATCTTCCTCTGCAATTAGGTTTCTGCGACTCTTCAATCCAGAAGAATTTGGCATACCTAGAGAAGAGATTTTAAAAATTGAAAACAGAAAAATGAAAGCAGGGTCTCACTATTTCTCATTTGTAGATTTTCAGAAAAGTAAACACTGGGGTAATTGGTGCAGTTAATTTTTCTGCACAATTTTTCTTGATAGGAGACAATGCAACTTATACTAAGTTAAAAATTTAACAGAATATGATCTACTGGTAATTCCAATTGTGTCTCTACCAAAATAAATGCACTTGAGTTAATCCTACATGTAAAACCTGATGCTTCCATTCTGATTTTATTTACTTTTAATTTTTTTTATTACTGTTATATATTGGAAAGTTTGGGAAGGATGTCACTCCATCTCTTCTCCCCACCCAGCTATGGGTAAATAACAGTATAAACCAGCTCCTATGAGCCTTAGGTGGCAGCCAAGTCAAAGAGAGAGAAAAGATCTGAATTTAAAACCAGCATGGAGAGGGTTGGGCTCCATCAGGCTATCTTGGAATTTAGACACAAAAGAGAATCTCCTAGCTATGTGAATAATATTTACTTATCAACTCCAGACATGCATTCTCTTGTATTAAAAGAAAGTTAACTAAAAATGTGGAAGAACAGTAATGATAGAGTAATGGATAGTGGCTCAGATTGAGGAATCGGAGAGCCAGGTTCAAATTCCAGTCATAGTTCATCACATTCACTTACATGCTAATACCCTTACGAAATGTATGAATCCATCTCTTCTATCCCCAACTATGGGTGAATAGCAGGATAGACTGGGTCCTATAGTCTTGAGAAGCAACGGGTCTAGGATAAGGAAAATTCTGTTTAAAACCAGCGTGGAAAGGGTTGCGTGCCATCAGGCTATCTTATCTTCGAAACGCTACTGCTACTGCAGTACATGTAGTTTTATTACTACCATAGACAGGGGTTAAAATTTTTTTTTAAATATTCCTTGTCTACAGCCTTTAACAAAAGCAGTGCAAAAATTTGGTTTAAAACTGAGACAGCTCACTATCCTCAGAATTTAAAAGGAAGTCATGATGATATATTGAACTACCTGTTGAGTATCCTTTATCAAAAATTCCAAAATCCCAAAGTTTTTCAGGTTCTGTCATGACTTGCCACAAATTAAAAACTTCAAAAACCCCAGCTACGTAGCCTACACTGACGTCAGTTTTTTGTTATCATTCATTACAGGAACACCATCGTTCATGAATTACTTACCAGGTGTTTCATGCTCAGTAAAGATATTATTCAAAATGTCAAAAGGTCCTGCTTTTATATATTTTTTTTTAAGGAGTGATCATGTTCTTTTGTACATGTACAGAAATTGTAAAACATTATTTTTACAGGAAATCTTAATTGCACTGCTTAAAAACCCATGCAAGCATCATTACCTGTATCAGTATGTACATAAAATTTATTACATTTTATATAAAACTACTTTCAGAATATATGTATAAGATGTGTGATGAAATGTAAAGGGATATCATGTTTATACTTGGGTTCCATTCCTATGCTGCTGTATACAAATTAAGTAGCCTGTATTCTAAAATCTGAAAACCAAAACACTTCCAGTCTCAAAAATTTCAGATAAAGGATTCTCAACCTGTATTATATTTTATAACTGCATTTAAAATAAAAAAATAAAAAATAAAAAAAAGAGAAGAAATGCCTTGCTCTGGACCACCTACCTTTCAATGCAAATGCTTCCTTGACAGAAAGAGGCACTCCAAGAAATGGTGCATTTTTCGCAGAGTAAGAATCAGCAATCTCAGATTGGGACAGCAGGTCATCTACTTTCCGAGCTTCCTCCAATGCTAAATCATAACGATTTTGGCACATAGCATTCACTATGGGATTCACAATCTTGGTCCGTTCAATAAATGCCTTCACAACTTCTTCACTTTTTACCTGTAAAGATAAAAGAAAAACCAATCCTGTTAAAAATTCTTCTTCTATGTGCCATATTCCTTCAGGATATACGTAATTATGGCTCTCCACAATTTCCTATCCCTTGTAGCACTCGGCAAAGTTTGACCCCTTATTATCTCTTCCTGTTTATTTTCTGCCATCTATTTATGAAAGTTTGTTAATATTAGGTATATTACTGTATTTTCCATCTTACAAGGCACTGCGGCTTGGGAGACAAACCCAAATATTGGAAAGAAATTTCTAAGAAAAAAAAGTCATTCTCGTACAACAAATTCACCATGCATCCCTCACATACTGGCACCACATATTGTTTACATTAATCACTCGTCCAAGTTTGTTTGTATCACAATGAAATACTAGTCAAGAGCAGAATGGCTCCCACCATTGCTAGAAAACAGAGCTATTGTTTAAGCTTTTGGCTTAGCTCCAGGAAGGCTTATAATCTTGGAAATATTTGTAACAGCTAAGTACTGAGGTTACATTGTATAAAAGGCTGAATTAGATAACTAACATTATAGTGTAATGACTCAACATACAAATCCATGTCTCTATCAGTCAAGCCAATTGGGTGACCATCCAAGCTTACTTAAGCCTGGGCGTTGCCTTACATTTGTCTGTGAAGATGCACACATATTTTTCAGAGTATTTTTTAGGGAAAAAAAAGTGCATCTTGTAAGCCAGAAAATATGGTACTTCTTGCTTCTGTCAATCCCTTTTGCTTTCAATAGATTCTGTGAGTGGCAGATTCTTAAACCCTCTTTTCTCATTATTTAAATTTGTGATAATCTATAGGGAAGGGGACTGTTCAGTCTAACACTATCTCTAAATTGGTGGTAATCATTATCATGAAAACCTACATAATGGAAAATAGTGATTTCAAAGCAAATTTTTAGTTTATTAATCATTGTTGGTAAAATAAATAAATAAAATTAAGAAAAATAAAAGTAATTAATATTTAAATATGGACTAGTATCTTTGTCTTTGTTGTTATTACAACATGGCTGTTGTGCCATCTGCTCTTCATCAGGTGTATATTGATCCAGGTAACCTACAGGGAATTCTGAATCAAACCCTTTATTTAATCTATGGTGTTCTTGTTCCACTGTTCATGTCTAGGGATATCCCTAGAAGTCTAAAATGGATGAAACAATATGACGACAACAACAACAAAGATGAGGACAAAAGTCTGCATGCAAACAGCATAAATAATGATAAACTGTAGAAATTTAGACAGAAAAAGAAATTAAATTTTAAATGATGTTCTGAGATTTATTCCAAACCAGCACAGTTGGCTCATAAACTCAGACATAAGTTTGAACTGATTCCTTCTTTTGTCTATAGATTGTCTAAACTTTAATTATAAACCATAATTTTGGGAAGAGAAAATTTAACTGAAATTTAAAATTCTAGAAACATTAACAATACCAATTTTGGTACTGGAAAAAAATCTTTGAACTATTTATATGAACAATTTTTGCTTACTTTATTTAAAAAAAAAAAAGAAAAAAATTACTAATTTAATTTAGTATCTGTCTATATTTCTGAGAGGAGGTATTATGTACACTATTTACATTATTCATATATTACATATATTATTAAGGACACATGGAACAGTGGATAAAGGCATTAGTTAGATCCAGTGACAGGACCCAAAGAGTGTGAGTTCAATACCCAGTTAAGGCAGTGGAGAACTTGGAGAAGGGAATTAACAGGAGATAACTGACATCCATTAAACATGGCATATGAGACTAGAACAGTCTACTCAAGTGAGCGAAATAAAGGGTTCAGTTCGACATTCCAACCACCTGAAGAAGGCCGGAGCATACAACAGCCGAAACATTGTAATAAATATGGCGACAATGATGAGGACAATAGTTCGAATAATGTAAATAGTGTAATTTAATTTAGTACTTTAATTGTATTTATATTTGATCCTAGTAAATTTATAAAAAATTTGAAGAAATAAATTATTTGAAATGGAACATGTACAACTCCCTGCATAAATTTTGTTCTATTACCACAGTACAGTACATTTACTGTTTTATTTCCCCTTGTTTGCTCCCCCTTTTTAATTCAGGCACATTTTAGATTAGTCACCATTTTGACCACTTCGTATTTATCCATTAATAATTTCTGGAACCGGTACAATAAACCACAGGATGAAATGGTGCAGTCCTTGATTTCTTATCCTCCTGATTTTACAATGCATATCATAGCAAGGCAGCCAATAATATCTTACTTTATCTTGTTAAAAGTTGTTTTTTTTTTAATCGTTTCAATGCATGCAAGGTAGTAAAGCCACTAAGACACAAGGGGTTACTGAGTATGAAAGAATAAGAAAAAAAGAGAAACATTATTAAGAAGCAAGAACAACAGAAGAGTAATCAAGAATACAATAGATAACAACATTGCTTTTAATTTTTTGTAGATCAAAGTTGGCTGGAAAGCAAGGAGCTGGAAGAGAGTTCCACAAGTAAGAAGTGTGAGAAAAAAAACAAAATGTTAGTATAGAACTTATGGCTACATCTAGCTAGTTCAACTGTGAAATGATGAGACCTTGCCACCGATCTAGTAGTATATTGAAGTTTATAAAGTCTAGGTACAATAGTGAAGCATTCATCCGAACAGTTCCTATGAAAGTATTTATAGAAAAGGCATAGGGGAGCTACATTACGATGGTGGGAAAGTGACTGAAGCCAAATTTTTGAATTGACGAAACCTTGTTGTAAATCTAATACTGCGCTTAAATTCACAAAGTCTCGGTACAATATCGAAGAGCTCATCAGACCAATTTACATGAAAATATTTATAGAAAAGGCATAGGGAAGCTACATTATGGTGGTGAAAAAGTGACTGAAGCTGAGATGCCAGGTTAGAACCAATAATATTGCTGATTCTTTGGATTTTTATCATCCTCAAAATGACTGTCGAGTTATTTAATGTAAAATTATTCTTCTTTATATTCGAGTCTATACGCATTTGCTTGGTTTCCCAATCATAAGACTCTTAACTCATTAAGTTCATAGGGCACAGCAGCTGCAGTAGTCTTTCCTGGACAAGATAACATGAGAGAGCCCAACCCTCTGCAGACTGGTTTTGAATTCAGTTTTTGCTTCTCCTAGACTGGTTGACACCTAAAACTATAGAACCCAGTCTGTCCTGCTATTTAACCCATAGTTATGGAAATAAGGGATAGATTCATAGCTTTCCCAGTAGTATTTGAATATAACAAAATTCAATCTAATACTGCATTTAAATTCATAAAGTCTAGGTACACTAAGGAAGAGCTCATCTGAATAATTATCATGAAAGTATTTATAGAAAAGACACAGGGAAGCAACTTTATAGCAATGGGAAAGTGACTGAAGCTGAGATGCCAGGTCAGAACCAATAATATTGCTGATTCTTCTTTGGATTTTGTCAAGAATCTCTACATATATAGCAGGGGCACTTGACCATATGTGGCAGCAATACTCAAAGCATGGACAAATGGTAGACTTATCAATATGTAAGATATCATGAACCAACTTTCTTAGAAGATCTAGCAATTGATTCAATATAATCTTTCCACTTCATGACAGCTGAGAATGTTAGCCCAAGAAGGTACAATGAGTCACTCTCCTGGAAGCTAGCATCAGCCATGCTGATGGGAAACAAAAAGGTATCTCAAAGATGATTAACAGATAGAAGTTTTGTTTTGGAGGTGTTAAAATTAGCATCCCAATCCTCAGTTAACAACAGACTGTTGGAATGTTCTTGAGGTTAAATTAGCTTCAGTAATTATCTTTACCTACATTTACTATAGAAAATAATTAAAGAACAGAAAGTGAATGAATTTTTCTTTTTTAACTATCTATTCAAGAGACTGATCACCTTCCACTCAAATGAACAAAAAAAACATGTCACCTCATGGTTTCGGATCATCTTGGCCAGAGTTGTTGCACTCTTCAGCAAGAGGGGATTGTCCACAGAAGGCACAACCCTGGAATCGCGTTCGTAGAGCCATACCAAAACAAGATCGGAAACGGGCAGCAATGTCCATCTGTAGAGTTTGACCAGGAGATACAGCACTAACCGAACGATATTCATAACTGTAAGAAAAAAGAAATCAAAAGACATGTTAAGATTCCATATTATTCTTAGGCACTTTATATATATATATATATATATATATATATATATATATATATATATATGAAAACAAAGATCTTTTTAAGGATTTTACAAAACAATTATAAGAAATCCATTATTTATCAGTCAGTCAGATGCCATTGTAAGCGATCTAGGATTGCAAAAGAAATATTTGTTGCAGATTACTTCCACAATGCAGAGAATAAATCACAAAGGTTCAGACTTGAACATCGGGGGCAGAAAAACGCCAAAAACTCAATTCACAGGTACTATCTCACAATGCATGCAACCAGTCAGAAAAATAACTCACTCTTCAACAACCGCGGTAGACAAAATACCCAAATTTTCTCCCTGATTTGAGAACACCAACTGCTTTTATCGGCCAAGCATTTTTTCAATTCGTTGACAGCTGGGAGAGGACGTTCAATTTTTGCATATCAAAATACTTTTATAGCGACTCCTGCGACAGACTTGTTTTTTAATTAAAATATTCCGTCTTCAGCATGTCATGTGGAATACGTGCCCTTTTTTTGGGTAAGCAATTTTCTTTTTCACCACATTTTCCGTCGTAGGATACACACGACGCACTGTTGCTTGGTTTGACGAGGTAAGTCACCGTTTTCTTCGCTATAGCCATACACAATGCACATTTGGGCAATCGTTGTTTTCAATGCATGACTGACTAGGCAGAAGTTTACCGTTTCTTTCTGTAGTAGACAGGTTACCACCCAAGGCTATAGAACCTAGTCTGTCCTGCTATTCAACCCATAGTTTGGGGGAAGGGTAAAGAGATGGCTTCATAACTTTCCCAAGGATATTTGTATGTAAGTAAATGTAAAGAACCTGACTGGAATTCAACCTTGTCACTCTCATTTCAATCCAATATTCATTAAACCACAATGCAGATCATCAACCTCAGCAAAACAGTCATAAAATAACAAGATATCTATTAAATATTTTATGTTGGTCATTTTAAAAACAGGCTCAGAGGGAATTAAGTCAGTTTTTATGACTTCAATATAGTAAACAATGCCCAGAACATTTTCTACGATTGACTATGTTAAATGAATGTGCAGGCAATGCAATGGTTAGCAACTCAGAACTGAGAAATTGGTGAGCCAAGTTCAAATTCCAGTAGAGAGTGTTACATTCATTTTCACACAGGTATCCTTGAGAAAGATAAAAATTCCATCTTTTTTCTATGGGTTAAATAGCAGGAAATATTTTGGGCAGTAGCCTCGGTTGGCAACTAGTCTAGGAAAAGGACAAATCTGAATTTAAAATCAGTTGGGCTGTCAATTACATCCTGTAAAATGTACTAGGGAAACTGCATGTTCAGGATATGGCCCTATACTTCATAAGGTACTTTCTCTCTCACACACACTCAAAGAGAGAGAGAGAGAGAGAGAGAGAGAGAGACTATTATAAAATAAATACTATTTTTCATATATTTTGATTTTAAAGAAAAGGACAAAGTATACACTTGATTCATTCAAATTATTGTTCTTAGCTTTGCTTGTTATAAATTGATGACCAAATGGACCATCTACTATTCCGTCATTTCCAAGGACTTTAGGTCGTGTGTTTATGTAGCCTTTTAAATGCAAAACAAGATGAGTTTTTAATATTCTGATAATTTCTTTTTCAGATGCAGAATTGTCACCTACAAAAAAAAAAAAAAAGTAGGTGCACTTGTATTGTCCAATGTAAATCTTATAAGTATCTATTTTACATGATCATTAAAGTTGAGTATAGCTTCTCAATTGCTGAACTAAATTTAAGATATTAAACTGCTTTTAGAATCAAATTTAAGTTTCAATCAAAATCTAAAAAAAATAAGATACTGCTGAAATCAAAATAAAAAAATAGAACTTTGTTTCAAGCAAAATAAAATGGAACTTTGTTTCAAAGTTCTAATTATTATTAGTCACTTATAAGGAAACAAGCTGGTATTACTATTACCAAAGATATACAATATGAGGAACAAACTTAGAGATTTTTCTGGTAAGTGACAATGTGTAGATCTTAAACTGTTTTCCTTATAAGTGACAATGTGCACATTTTAAACTTTTATTGTAAGCTACTGACCAAATATACTTTTCATATTTTATATCTGTAACTTCAAAATATGACTGAAGAACAATACCAAAACAAGAATTACATTTGCATACTTAAACTTGGTTTTAAGTTACATTTAAGGTTACTGTACATGAAATGGGGAAATAGTTTTATTTTGTTTTTTAGCAGAATAGCTCATAACAGATATTTTTATATATAATTGTTATGTTTTTCAATAATTTAAATATTTTCTTTAAAATATTAATTTTCATAGAAAAGAATTACTGTAAATTTTTTTTTTTTTCATTTTTACATACTGCAGGTTTTTAATGTCAATTTTTATCATTCAATGTTTTTTTTTTTTAAGCATTTAAGCCACAGGCAATTCGGGAGTGCCACTAACATGCAAGGGTTTACAGAGAGTGAAAGTAAGAGTAAAGAGGGGTGTTTGAGGCAAAAGAGAAACATGGGGATCAAGATTAAGGCATCAAGAGAGAAACATGGGGATAATGATAAAGGCATCAAGAGAGAAACATGGGGATAATGATAAAGGCATCAAGAGAGAAACATGGGGATAATGATAAAGGCATCAAGAGAGAAACATGGGGATAATGATAAAGGCATCAAAAGAGAAACATGGGGATCAAGATAATAGAATTAAAAGAGAAACATGGGGATCAAGATCATAGAATTAAAAGAGAAACATGGGGATCAAGATCAAAGAATTAAAAGAGAAACATGGGGATCAAGATCATAGAATTAAAAGAGAAACATGGGGATCAAGATCATAGAATTAAAAGAGAAACATGGGGATCAAGATCAAGGCATCAAAAAAGAAACATGGGGATCAAGATCAAGACATCAAAAAAGAAACATGGGGATCAAGATCAAGGCATCAAAAGAGAAACATGGGGATCAAGATCAAGGCATCAAAAGAGAAACATGGGGATCAAGATCAAGGCATCAAAAGAGAAACATGGGGATCAAGATCAAGGAATCAAAAGAGAAACATGGGGATCAAGATTAAGGAATCAAAAGAGAAACATGGGGATCAAGATTAAGGAATCAAAAGAGAAACATGGGGATCAAGATTAAGGAATCAAAAGAGAAACATGGGGATCAAGATCATAGAATTAAACGAGAAACATGGGGATCAAGATCATAGAATTAAACGAGAAACATGGGGATCAAGGTCAAGGAATCAAAAGAGAAATATGGGGATCAAGATCAAGGCATCAAAAGAGAAACATGGGGATCAAGGCATCAAAAGAGAAACATGGGGATCAAGATCATGGAATTAAAAGAGAAACATGGGGATCAAGATTTAGGCATCAAAAGAGAAAGATGGGGATCATGATCAAGGCATCAAAAGAGAAATATGGGGGTCAAGATCAAGGCATCAGAAGATGCTGATTGATATTTTTTGAATATTTGAAGATTATAGCTATCAAGGAAGCAAGTAAGAGGAAGGAAGAACTTGTGATTAATGTCTGAAGACAGAAACATTGAAATTGTAATATCTTCTAAAAGATAAAGTCATCATTGTAGATATACAAAATTCAGCAAAGCTTAGCTAACACAATGATTTCTTAACATTATTTTGAAAATTATTTAAAATTCTTTGAAAAATACACATTTACAACTGGTGTCTTATCTGTTAACTCAGTTTACACTAAGTCAATGATTCACAATAAAATTAGTATTAAAGAATATTGTAAAATTTTCAGGATATGCTTATATGATAAATATGACATGCAAATTGCAGCTTGTAATTTCAGTCTTATTAATAATATTTAGAACTTATTTTGTGATGTAAGATTTTATTATGCATCTCTAGGTTTGTTCCTCATATTGTATGTCTATGGTAATAGTAATATCAGCCTTTTTCCTTATAAGGAAACATTTGACATTTACTAACCGAGCAGCCAGTGTTGCCATCAGTTGAAACGTATAAAATCTTTCTCTTAAAAAAAAAAAAAATTCAGAAAAATAGGTCTCTCAAGTCTAGTAACTATTATCACTCTTTCCATTATTGATGGGAGTTTCCTTCCTAATGTTTTGTTTGAAGTAGTGTGGAACATCACCATCTTGATTATCTCATTATTTTCTCTTACATGTGATAGCCATTTTAATTGTAACTGCTGTTGAAATTCCTCCAATAATTTGGTTTTTGTTATTTGGTACTGCTCTTTGGGGATTTTTAGCACCAGTTCCTGAATTTCGAAGACAAATATGACAAATAACAATAAATCCCTTTTTTTTTTGTAACAACAACAATAAAAATCACATATCATAAATCTTACAAAGCAATTTGTGTAGATTAAGATTTGTGAATGAAAGATGTTGTTTGTGGATTTTATGTATAAACTCTTAGAATGAAAAGTGATAAGTGAATTTAAGTTTACTGAAAGAAATACTTATTCAAAGAAAGTGTATGTAATTTTTATACAGTTTGTGGATTAATAAACTTGTTTAAAATGAAATTTAAACAGTTTGTATAGCACAATTTCTGTTGTGTAAATTTTAAGAGTTTAGTGACAAAGTTATCTTCCTTTGACTGTATTCTTTTTTTGTCAATGAATGAATAAAAATAACTTAGGAAAAGCTGAATGAAAATTCATTCTGTAGCTGAGAACTTTAACTTGGTAGTTGATAAAATCCAGTGTAAAAAATGTTTTATGGATTCTGCAGAAGATAAGTTCCATGATCTAGAACTTTCAAAATTTTGAATGAATGATGTCAGTAGTGATGATTGAGTGAATTAGATTGACTTGAATTGCATTGAAGTTTGTTTCATGTTAAGAGAATTCTAATTTTGTAACTTCAAAGGAACAAGTATCATGGAGTAGATTGGCAGTTGTTAACCGTGTGAAAAAAACTCAATGAAGACACATATTCATGCATCATATTTGTTTATTTCTTAATCACAT